ACCTCCAAAATGCTCCTTAAATATAACACTCTCAGCGCCTGATGACTCCCCTGCCTGAGCTTGGAGCTTTGATTCCCCAACGTGTGACTGCAGCACTGCTCTGCCCCAGTTTTTCCGGCAACTAGAGGCATGCAGCTATGCCCTGGTACTGCAGCAAGGCTCCTGCTCCCCGTGCGAAGGGGGGCGGACGGAGAGCAGCACAGAATCCAAGAACTTGAGATAGAAGGGGAGCCTCAGGGATCATATAGTCCATTTTCCGCTCCAGATGGGGAGCCAGAGGCTTGGAGTGACTTGCCCAAGGTCATGGGGAGGCAGGGGCTTCTCGCGGTGGAACCAGCTGGGGAGGTGGGAGTCAGGAGGGCTGAACTCTCCCTTGGGTTCTGCCACAAGTTGGCTGAAGCCTGAGATGGGACCTGACATCCTGACATTTGGGTTCGTAGCTTCCAGGTTTCCCGTGGCCTGGGGGCCTGGGGCATCAGCAGGCAAGGTCACCGGCAGCGTGGCAGCGTGCTCTGGTTGAATGGGAACCTCTCTCACCATTCTAGTCGCTATTTATGGATGAAGCAAGAAACCCCGATCAACTTCCTGTTAATCAAACCAATATCAGTCAATTTGGAAAGGCCAATTTTTGTGAACTTCGGTTTGTGAAAATGCAAATAACACCACATTGTCATGGCCAGACCCCTGAGCACACCCCCTCCCCAAATCAAATCTGTTTATAGAAACCCAAAAGAGAAGATTCCTGTTTAGTTGTTTTCTAATTGCTGTTTATTTTATTTTAAAGTTGTTTTCATTGACTATTAAGCAGATACAAAATATTTATAACATACAAAATATGTGTAAAGTATAAACAACAAACAGGTGTACCTCTTACCTGTCCTGCTGACTCCATTCTCTTCCCCACCCTTCCAAGGTGAATGTTGAGTTTATCATTCCCTCGCTTTTGGATTTTATGGATATAGAATACATATATATATATATATGTATATATTTTTTGTTCTTTATACACAGAATCATACTGTGTGCATTCTTTGGTGACTTGCTTTCTTCATTCAACCTCGTGCTTCTGAGTGTCATCCATGCTCTTGCATGTGACAGTGATTTATGTGTTTTTAGCTCTGTATGCTGTTCCACTTTAAGAAACTACCACAAGGTATTTATCTTTTCTGTTGATAGACGTTTGTTTTGTTTCCAGGTTTTTTGTTTTGTTTTTGCTATTATATGGAGTGCCATGTAAAGTTTTGGTGCCTGTGAGTTGCTTCCATCATTGGAGTAGAACAGTTATGTGTTAGGGGGTGCAATTGTTCAACTCTACCATACAATACCGAATAGTTTTTCTAGGTATTTAATAGTTGGACCAATATACACTCACACTGGCTCCTTTCCAACACTAGATATTGCTTGACTGGTTAGTTTTTGCCAATCAGATGGATATGTAATGGCATCTCATTGGAGTTCCAATTTGTATTTTCCTGAATACTAATGAATTGAGCACTTTTTATGTTTATTGATTGTTTTCTCTTCTGAAAGTGCTCATGCAAATTGTTTGTCTATTTTTCTAATTGTTTTCTTTTTCTCATTGGTTTGTAGGAATTTTCAATAAATTCTGTGAACAATTCCTTTCTTAAATAATATACATCAAAAATATTTTCTCCCCCAAAAGCTTTGTCTTTTCTTTCCTTATGATCTCTTTGGATGAACAGAAATTCTTAATATTACTGTAGCAGAATCTATTACTCTTTTGCTTTATGGACATTGTATTTTTGGTGAGTTGCTTGGGAAATTCTCAGGCTACAATTGGTATAAGGTCAGTTTGTGATTATGGTTGGTCAGGGGAGATTGTTTTTCCTCCTTTGTTTAATGTCAAGGTTTAGGATGGCTAATTGTCCTTTTAGTTACTGGGCAGTGTTTATGAATTTTTTTCAAGTTCATTACAGTGGTTTTCCACCAGGGCCTGCTTCATTAGAAGGTCTCCTGTTAAACCTCTCACCACTAGTGGGCTTTGGAGTTATCTCCTGCATGCTCTGTGAGGCCACGAAAACCCAAGCCCAGTTTCACTGGCTTCTGCCATCACTAAGTTTTTGACCTCTTATTATTTCTTACTTTTTTGAGAGCTCATCAAGCACTTTAAAGAGTTTCTTTTTTTTTCTTTCTGTTTTATCCAGTATATATGCCATATTGCCAGACATGGAAGCTTTTGGAATCTAGTTTTCTCTAAACAATTCTTATCCTTCCTGTAATACGAATATAAAGGAGCAGCCAGTTTGCAAAGAATCAGGCAGAAGTGGGAGACTCTGTATGTTCATTCCTAGAGGTTATGTCAGTGCTCACAATTTGCTGGTCAGGAAACTTTTCAAACCATACAAACAGACTGCTCTCCGTGAGAAGATAAAAGAAGGAAAATACATTCAATGAGGAACATTTCTCCAAACGTGGAGTTTGTTTCCAGAGCTTTGTGCGAAGTCCTCTTTTCAGAAACAGGAAAGAGCCAAGGGGAATTTGAGGCAGATGACTGTCACCCCACTCACTGGGCTCTCCTTTTCTTCCTTCCCTTTGTGTGTTCCTCGCATCACGCACAGACACGCAAGCCAGCCAACTCACCAGTAATAGAAGAGGCTGGCTTGATGTAGTCGCTTTTTTACCTATTCCCTGGATTCTTTTTCTCCTGGGAGCATGTAAGCTTTTATAAATCAGCTTGTCTGATAGAGAAGGTGATTTTTTTATAAACACACGTAGTGATTAAGAGAATGGGTTTTGGAGCTCGACACGCCTGCATTCAAATCCCAAACTTGCAGCTTTGCTAGCTGTTTGGCATTAGGCAAATCAAGATGCCGCACTCAGCCTTCGCAGCATTATCTGAAAAATCATGATCATTACTTCCTTATAATGTGGATGTGAAGATTCAGTGAGATAATGCAAGTAAAATGCTTAGCACGATGTGTGCTAATAAGCCCTCAATACATTCTTATTAATAGTTGAGAAGGAGGAAGGGTTTTTTGTTTGTCCATTTTGGAGTTTAAAAAAAAAAACAGCTCCAGAGTAAAAGCCAACAAATTTTAAATTACCACGATGTCTTTTAATGTAATACTTGGAAATCTTTGATCCAGGTTCTGTGTGTTACCTGTGATCCGTTGGTGGTTGAGGATGAGAAAACAGCATTCACATGTATGTGGAGTACTATAAGTGACATTTGCCTGAGGGCTGGATCGCAGAACCTAGGCGTTCCTCTGAGTGAGTTATCTAGGTCAGCGGTCCCCAACCTTTTTGGCACCAGGGACTGTTTTCATGGAAGACAATATTTCAATGGACTGGCGGAGGGGAGATGGTTTCAGGATGACTCAAGCTCATTACATTTATTGTGCACTTTATTTCTGTTATATTACATTGTCATATGTAATGAAGTAATTATACAACTCACCACAGGTTGGGGACCCCTGATCTAGGTCATAAGGGACAACTCTGTGTACTTCTGGAATCCGTTGCATCCCTTCAGTACCTATGCTGAAAGTATGGCCTGGGTACAGCCTCCAGGAGCTTTAAAAACATAACCACAGATATGTTCAGAGGTCCAGGAAGCATTTGAGTGTTGTCTGGCATGGGGCTGTAGATAGAGAGAAATTCCATACGTAGCCCAGGGCTGCTTTGGAAGTCTGTCTCTGAAAGCTCAGTAAAGTGTGTGTAAAGTAAGTAAAGTAAGCTCCTTAAAGTGTGTTTCTTCTGGACCATCTGGACACCGGAGGGAGACCGCAGTGTTTTAGATCAGTTTGCATGAAGTCACTTCAATTAATTACTTGCCGATAGTAGCACCCCTACTATATGCAAGCCCTCCTAATCAGTAGGAATGTAGGGCTAAACAAGATACCCGGTCCCTGCCTTCGTGGAACTTACCCTCTAAAAAGAGCAAGGCAGGTAATAAGTAATCGCAAGCATGGTGACCGTTAACACACAAACATCTGCACTCCAGATTTTCTAGACAGTATCACTTCACAAGGTCAAGTGTAGATGAAGTGCATACAGCTCATGGATGTCTGTATATCGTTTGGGGCAAATTTCAGGGTGAAGGCTTATTATGGTTAGGCTATTCTGGGGCAAGTTTCAGGGTAAAGGCTTGTTATTATGGTTCAGTTGAAGGTTGCTATTTCATGATTAATCTCCTCTTTGTTCGTTATCACCCATCCGCATTACTGACCCAGATAGTGATGTGGGGAAGGACAGAAAGGAATCACACAGCCCGCACACACAATTTTTGGTGCTGGAATTCCTGGGCCTGAGCCTGGAAGATTTGATTTAGGAGGAGCTTCTTCTCCCTTTCCAGTGAATTGTACGTTCCAGTTTAAGTTGAGAATCTCAGTCCTTCCTTACCACGGTGCTGTGCCGCCTGGTCTGAATCTCCTTGGAGCCCAACATTGGTGATAAAGGGTTGCGTAAATCCTAAAGGAGGCCTTTGTGGCCACCTTAAAAGGATCTCTGGCCCCAGGTGACCAAATGCATTGCCCTACCACCTGAAGTTGCTGCCTCACCACGTGCCCCAGAAGGGGAGGCAATTTCCCCAGTGGGGGAAGAGAACTGTGTGTTCTGTGTGCTGCAGGCAGGCAGCGAACTGCCCCGAGCAGCCCAGCTTGCCTGCCTTGCCGGCTGCCCGGCCTCACTGGGGAGGGTCTATTTAAGGTGGTCTTGCCCAGCCTGCCTTGGGACACCGAGGCACTCACCATCGGGCCTCTGAGGTCAGTGGCTCAGTTTAGGGTTCCCAAAGTTTGCTGAGGACAAAGACTCCAGGCTCCCTTCCCCGCCAGGGGTGGGGTGTTTTAACCCTTCAGTGGATGCCTGCGGAAGTGCTCACCTTCAGATATTTCCGCCCCTCTTCTCTTCATTCCAGGCAGCACATTCCTCACTCACCCTGTCTCTGACATTCTTTCCTGTCCTGGGACAAAACATGTGCTGTGTCTTTAAATGGGCGGAAGTGGCTGGCAGTGCTTTGCTTGGGTACTGCATTGATTAGGAGATTATATGGAGCTGCGGGAGCTGCCGCCTGGGGGAAGAGAGGTGCAGGTTCTGCTAGATTTGTGCGGTTCTTCTCCCGGGCTCTGCTTGGCTTCCTTCCCCAAGGCGGCTGGGAGTCGGTATGAGGTGAGGGTGGGTGGGTGGCCGGCCAGCCTGCCTGTTGACGGCAACTCCAGGGCTCGTTTCGCGCTGCCTTGCCAGCATTACCCATCCTCAGCAGAAACTGGCAGCGGCAGCCACAGCTCAGGCAGGCAGCTCCAGCCCCGGGCTGGGCTTGCAGAATCTGTCCTTTGCCTTCAAGCCCGGCTTTCAGCTGGGAGAGGGGGAAGAAGGGACAGCAGCAGCAGTTCTTCTGGCTCTTTCTCTGTCTCTGTCTTTCTCTTTCTGTGTTCAAGTCACATTACATGGGATTCTGTTCTTTTGGGACTTCGTCATCTTTTCCAACATGTCCTGGGACCTCCGGATCTGTAACGGGGATGCTAAGGACACGGTCAGTGGATTATCGTGACTGTACTAATGAAAGGATTCAAGCTCTCCTGGTAAGTAGAGGAGGGATAAGGTGCCTTTCTCTTCGCTCTTTCTTCAGCCCTGTGCTCCCCCAGCACCCTCAAGCGGTCTCCTTCAGAGAGGCCGTCTCAGCAGACGGGCATCGAGGGGTTAAGACGTTGGCTACACACTGTACAAAGTTGGGGTACTCTCTCTGGCTCCCCTAGCTTCTGCACCACTGCAGTATTTTCTGTCAGCATCCTCTTGGGGGGGCAGGGGTTTTGTGGAATTCGGGGGGTAGTGGAGAGAAGCAAACTGCGGCTGAAACGGTTCTCCAACTTCGAGGGGCATGAGAGGAGGTGCACATGGAGGGAAGTTTAGAAAGAAAGATCTCTTTGCTGTTGCACGGTCTTGTGCGGGGCTGGGGGCACAGCTATGCTCTCCTGACCCCTAACCGACATGGGGTGGGGGGTACTTTCTCTGTCAGCTCCTTAGGGCTGGCAGCCTGGGACCTCTGACTGAGGAATCTCTCTGAGGGCCCAGGCTCCAGGATACCTGGTGTCCAAAGGAGACTGGACCGCACCCCTACCCCACCACAAACACACCCCTTGAGGCTTTGCCAGCGCCCCTTCCTGGGCTTAATATCGGGACATTCAAGGCACTTGCTTGGGGCGTGGGCGTAGCTGTATTCTAGCTGCAGAAGTAGTCAGAGTATTTTTACCTTTTATTTAAAAAACAAAACCCTTACTTATCCCTCTTCTCCTTTGACCCAGAAGGATCGGGTGGGTGGGTGAATTGGCTTTTTATCTGACTGAGAAACTGCAGATTTCACTTGGGAAACTTTGCCGTGGCAGGGATCTGGTACCTCTGCAGAACAGCATGTGCGGCTGCCCGGCAGGCCTCCTTCAGAGGAGAAGGGCTCCTTGGGCCGGAGAGGGAGCTTTCTCTCCCTGAAGAGGGTGGAGGGTGGGAGGAGGAGAATGAGCTTGGGAGAACTCCCTGCAGGGGTGCATCCTGCCTGCATTGGCTGGCTGTCCCTAGTGGGGTGGTGGTCAGTCATCTCTCAGCCGGGAGGCTGATTTTCGGAGTCAGGGATGCATGTCAAACAGTTTAAGGCATGGAGTCCTAGCATGGCCCTAGGCCACATCTTGCTTTCCAGAAACCCCCACCCTAGATTAAAGCCTGACAGAATCAGTTTCTAGGCAAGAGGGTCCTCTAGTGGGTCTTGGAAAGGCACTTTGTGGAAGGCGAAGGGAGGTGCTTAGTTCCTGCAAGCGTAACTCTCAGGAACTAGGAGGCCCGGAGAGGTGGTGAGCATTGGTAACCACCCAGCATGGAGTTTCTTTTCTTCCAGCTTTGATATCACTCTTTCCTATGTTTAGCCCTTGCTCTTTTGGAACCAGGTTCTTTCTGGTTGTAAATTATTAGCAGAGGGTATTGTCGCTTGGAGTTCCAGGCCCAGGGTGACAGCCAGAGCTGCCCCTTCACTCTTCAGTAGAGCCAAGCCGGGTCTGTAGCTTGGATGAAGCCTCCAAGGAAAGCCCAGGTGCTGCTGGGAGCGCAGGGGACACTGGGCTCTTCGTCAGAAATCGCTCACATCCTTCCCAGCTTGGGACTGAGAGGTAGCTTGGCTGCCATTCAGGATGAGACATCACTTTAACACAGAATGCCTCTTGGCTCAGCCCAGCCTGGGTTAGTCCCTTAGGGACATGCAGGAATGTTTGCCTTTAAAAATCTGCCTTGAGTATCTCTTGGTGCATTTCAACAAGGAGAGCAGTGTGAAGGTGGGAACTGTAATTAGGCTAACCTTGTCTTCTTTAGCCAGATAAAATTTTACAAGGTTGGGAAGTTTTGTTACTTATATCTGCCTGGGTACTATTAGGTCCCTTCACCCACCATCTCATTAAGTACAGATACGTTGTTCCATTTTGGCCCAGGGGCCAAAACTTTGTCGTTGTGGGTGTTTTGGTTAGAAATGCGGCTCCCTTTGGTAGTATGCCGTGTCAGGGTACTCCCCGCTCTCCCAACAGGGAGACTTGTTTGAAGCAGGATGATGAAATATATTGGTTACCTTGTTCTGGATAGCACTGTCTGCATGTGGAAAAGGACGGGATTAATTAACATAACAATGTTTGGGAATCATTTCTAGAAACAATTCTGGAATGCCTACTATGTGTGTGTGATATAAAAAATGATGGTAATGCTGACTAGCATTGATTGATACTATGTGTCAAGCACCGTTTTAGACACTTCGCATGTATTAACTCACACGGGGCTCACAGCATTATTATTAAGATCCCTTAAAAGAAAAGCAATCCCCATTTTATAGGTGGGGAAACTGAGACAAAGAGAGGTAAAATGGCCTGTTTGAGGTCATATAGATACTAGGAACCAGGCTTTGGATTTCCAGCGAGGTGATTTTCCCCAGTGATTCACCTGTTCTTGGTTACTCTTCTCTAGTGAACTTTCCCTGTGTGTGATGCCCTACTATGTACCAGCTTTTGTCCTGCTCTGTTTTCTCTTTGCCTAATGTTTGTTAGGTCAGTTGAGCAGACTTTTAGAAGTGTGTACAAATGCATTATCTCATTTGATTCTTATCATGACCCCATGAAGTGGCTGGTATCTCTATTTTAGAGGTAGGGAAACTAAGGTACAGAGTAGTAACATGTTTTGATTAAATTCATGCAACTAGTTTGTGAAGAAGCCAGGATGCAGACTCTTGTTGCTTGACTATTATTTCAGTGTGGGGACTCCCACAGCAACAGCAGAGTGTGTCTGTCCGACCTTCTTTCCCTGAGAGCAGGCTTAAGGTCCATGCATCCATTTATGCATCCATCCCTTCATTCTACAGATGTTGATCACGTATTTAGTATTTTTGCAGCCTTGTGCCTAGGCATTGCAGGAGTTTCAAAAAATGTAAAGGATATGGCCTTGGCCTTGCAGGGACCGGTAGCCTCACAGATGGAATGAGATACCACCTCCCCTCCACCCACACTTGCACAGACACGCGCACACATATGTGTGCATCAGTTCTAAAGGTCAGATCAGTGCACTGAACCCCAAGGACTCTGGAAATTCATTTTGGCTGGTGCTGTGGAGAAGGCTTCTTGGAGTAATTGACATGTGTGGGGGGTTCAGAGGCTGGACAACTGGTTAAGTAAGGGCTGTACTTTGTTGAGCACCTCTGCTATACCTCATGGGGCTATGAGCTTGTCACTGGGGCTGCTTTTAGATGAAGAGGACCATGGTGATGACTGTGATTGACGAGTGGCTGCATTGTGAGATAGAAATCTCCCTCATTAGGCAGGAGCTGTAGGCTGTCTCAAAAGATGATTCTGTGGTTCCATCTGCCGGTTGCTTGGGGAGCAGGGTAAGGGCAGTAGTAGAAGAGGGGGAGACAGGAGGTGGCATGTACAAATAGACGGGGCTGTGGCCAGAGCAGAACTGTGGGTCATGTAGTAATTTGGAAGCCAAGTAATTATTTCTTTAAGAACAACTCACTAATCTTCCTTAGCTTCCGCATGATTAATTTTTTTTCCTTTTGGTGATATAAAGATATTCCTAATTCCTGTAGAGCTTTAGAACCTTACATACTAAGATGTCCAGTTTTGTGGGGCTGCTCCCTCTCTAGGTGGTTTTGGCCGCCACAGGACCAGGCAGACTGTAGTGACATCTGTCTAGAGTCTACTCTCCTCGTGTTCCTGGTCCTCCCATCTGTTGGGCTTGGTGGTGCAGCCTCCACAGAGCCTGGGGGCTGTGACAGACCTTGGGGACAGTCAGTGTGCTGCAAGAATTTGATTCTGTGAAAAAGCAGTTAAGAGGAAGTATGGTTCTTGACACATAACAGGCGAAGCATCTCTGTGGTGAGGTCTCAGTCCCCAGATGAGAGGAATTTTGTGTTTCTGTGTGTGAATGACTGAGTGAGCAGTCATGCTTTCACACTGTTTATTTAGGAAGTTGAGTGCTATGTTAGAGAACCTACTCACATTCTTCCCAGGTAACTGGGATAGAGTTCATTTTTTTGTATTCCTCCATATTGCATGGAGATTAATGGTCAAACGTATTTTATTTGATACCAAAGGTCAATTGCCCACTGTACTCTTTCTCTTCAATCTGTTAACAAATAGAGCTCTGTTCCTTCTTCAGTTCTTAGCATAGAGCTGTCTTTTGAGGTTCTTTATGTGAGAGGTTTGCTCTGAGGAAGAGGGAGCCCTGGATGTGGCCTCTGCACACCTCCTTTAGAGCAAGACATTTCCCCACTATACAAACATCTATCAGAAGGCGAGTTGCAGTGAAGGTTGGAGTCACTCAATGGCTTGAGATTGTAGAGAGACAACTGCTGAAATGGAATCTTGTAACCCCTTTTGGCCTGCTGCGTGGCCTTGGGAGGTGACTTCTGTTTGCCTGGGGTGGCGGTGGTGGTTTTGAAAGTGGAATTAAATGACAGCGTTAGGAGGATTAGTCAGTCTCTCAGCTTCCTTTTTACTAATGGTTTAGGAAAAGGCCACACAATCCTGATAGAGCAGGTCACTTGTGTTGTGGACTGTTCGTGCCCTTCTGTAGCCAGCAGGGGACACTGAAAATAAACATTCATTTGAAAATATTAAATATTCATTTACAAACATTGCACAGCAGGCACACCTTCCTGCGAACAGTGTGAGATTTACTTTATTATTCGATGGGATGGGAATTGGAGTTTTCCCATGGTCCAGTAAATCCAGGCCGCCAAGTGCAGGTCATCTAAGCATTTCAATCTGCTGAGTGAGCAGGAAGCTCAGGGCAAGGGCTGAAACTTCTGGCTCTACAGATTTTCTTAAAAGCATAGGCCTTTCCCACCTCTCACCCAGGTTTCTACTTTGGGAAACTGTACCTGGCTTGAAGTAAGTGGCAATAAATGTTTGCTTTGCTATGTTATTGTTGCCATCCTCATGATTACTTTAAGAAGAAAAAATGTAAGTTTGGGGGCGGCAGACATTGTGACAGATCAGATTGTGAGTGCCTGAGGTTCTTTGGTGCTGCTAGCTCAAAACCCTTCCTCCTGGCCATTCTGAGA